ATTTTTAGAGTTATTATTTATCCTCAATGCAGGCTAAGGTATTCGTGCTCAAAGACCTAATTTTTGAAATAATCCCCCACACATATTTGAAGAATCTGAATTATTCAACATCATATATATATATATTGATAACGTTTTTTTTTTCAAATATATATTTTTTCAATTTATATATATATATATATATATATATATATATTGATAACGTTTTTGTTTTCAAATATATATTTTTTCAATTTATATATATTTTATAAATAACTGATTTTGTGTCTGTATATAAAGAAGGTGAAAACCTATAAATAATAAAACGCATGTAAATAAATGTATTATAATGTAAATAAATAAATATATACATTGAATTATTTACAAAAAAATATAGTCGTTTCGAATAAATTGCATTTGATTCATAGAAATTTAGTATCATACATTGTCTTTGTCATTCAATAGATATTTTTAAAGATATTTTAAATCATTCTTTTAAAAGAAAATCCTTTGATATTGGATGAACATTATGATTTTTTTCTTATTGTTATTATTGAAAAAAAAAATCAGATCAAAAAATGATGTATGAGATTTAAGATATAAATTGTGAACATTTTTGCTCAAGAATTAGTAATCTTCGACTAGTTTTTATTGATAATTAGAAAATGATACTTGTAAAAAGTCAATCTATTATTTACTTTGTTGTAATAATTTGGTAAATATAAGCTTATAATAAATAATATTTTGAAGCTTGAAGTGACTTGATTTTAATGCTACAACTATGTAATTTCACAAAAGAGTCATCATATCATTTTTTTAGATCTATCAATTGACTTGAATTTAAGTTTATAATTAAGAAATAAATAATTTAAGCTATCTTGGTCCAAATATAATTAATAAATCAACACTCTTAATTGAAATCAAAATGTGCATTCAATAGTTTATAAATTTTATATTTTCCATTGTAATATAAGATATTTTTTAATTATCAATAAAAAAATAAATATTTTAGTTGATATTAAATTTTAATTATAGATTTTAAAATTTTATAATCTTAAAATTTCTTAACAAATCTCAATCCTAACCAGTAAACTTTATCAAAACACAATCTCTTACTGAATTATGAGATTGGTGTCAAATATTTAAGCTATTGTTTTTCTAAGTCTTTTATATGCTCAACTTCATATCTATATTGAAATCTTTTGGAAAAAAAACATAGTTCTAACTTGATCCAATAGACAATTCTGGAAGTTTGCAAAAAACTTGATTAGATTTGAATTGTCAAATTTTAATATATATATATATATATATATATATTCTAGACAATTTTATTAGTACTTTAGAGCCAAATTTATACATCATGATTGAGTTGTATCTTACTATTAATCTTACTATTTCATGATTCCTTTGTATAAATCTAACCTTAACGTTGTCTAAAATTTGACCATTGAAAGCATATTAATGGTAAAACTTAGTATAAGATATAAAAATAGTAGCTAAATTTAATCTATAAAATATTTAAAATATATATATATATATATATATATATATATATCTTTTTAATAATTAATCAAATTCTAGCCCAATAGATCAAATATTCAAAATTACATTAGAAAATAATCTATAAAATACCAATTTTAAAAAAACATTCTTTTTAAAATATCTATATTCATATAAGATAAAAGAATATATATATATATATATATATATATATATATAAATATATATATATTAGATATCTATTTGAACATTTAATTTATTTTTAACATAGGCTTAAGTTTTTTGAAGAATATAAAAAATATATATTAATTTAATTGCTTGAATAGACATAGATCTTTAGTCTACTTGTTGTAGGATTTGTAATTAAGAAGAATAATAGTACACAATTAAATTGGATACATTTTAAAAACTAAAAAATACCAATATTTTATAGGAGTTATATAAACCATACTATTTATAAGCTAATATATAAAAAAAACATTAAACTAAAAGTAGGATATGAAAAGAATCTAAAATCTTGTCAAAGTTTCTTTCTTAATGAATATATCATCTTTTTCTTTTAAACGTTCTTAAATTTTTGTCATTGTTTTATAGAAGTAAAGATGTAAAAAGAATCCATACTTCTAAATTGCAATTGATGAGGCTCTCAATTTGAATGAACATCAAAGAATCATTAAAATTAAAATTGAGGGAGTAGAAAAAATCTGTAACCAAATTACTTTGAAAATAAAAATTCTAATAATTGCATCTTTTTAAATATAGTCCCTATTTTAACTTACTCCATTACCATCTTACTATCTATTTCATATTACTAATATTGATGACAAATATTATTTTTAACAAAGGAAATATGAATGTCTACTTGGCTGTCTTTTGAAATCTATCTACATTTGTTAATTTTTTTTTTATTGTGATTTAATTTAAATAGCTCAAGTCCTTCCAAATTTTTCTAATTTAACATGATACTACATAAATATCCATATACTACCAAAATCTATTGTAATGGCTCTTCTATTTTATTATGATTAAGCCACAATATCTCTTCTTAAGTAAGATCTTCTACTAACTTATTAATTTTTGTCATCTATTTCACTAGTTTAGTGGCTCAAGACCTTTAAAATATAGTTTTATTTCGTAGTTTAAATAGTGATCTTGTTTATAACTTTGTCTTTTAGCAAATCTTATTGTTTGTGCATTTTTGGTGTGGCACTTAATACCTTTTGGTAATCATAGACTCCACACTAAAATTATTATATTATATATCATGTTTCAAATTGATTTCATATTTACTAATTTATATTGGTTGTTTTTTAATACAAGATAATTTATGCAATCATATTTTAAATGATGATTGTCTCAAGTAAAACAATTTTTTGGAATAAGATTATAAATTGTTCCTTTATTTGATATGTCTAATGGCTTTGTTGGCTCTTATTGAAGGCTTCTTTGTTTCTTTAGATCAACTCAGTACATTAGTTCTTCATTGATTTTATTCTTTGAATTTAAAGTTCCTTTTAGAAGCATTCTAATTTGCAATATATCTTTTAAAGATTTATTGAAAAAATTCTAAATAATTCTTTTGTGACTAGTTTTGTTTGTTAGATCTATCTATAATATTTCTTTTTTTACTAAAAAAAATGTTTGATATCATGTTATTCTAGTATCTCTATATAATTTCTTCATATGCAATTTAGAAATAAAGACATTAGATTTTTCATCTTGATTAGTTTTTTGTTGATTATTTAAGTACATGATTAAAGATAGAGTTGTATCACATGCATAGATCACATACTTTATTTATTTAGAAAATAAATTTCTATATCTTAAATTATCAATTAAGTCTAAATATATGAAGGCTTTGTCATTGAACTAAAGTATAATCATATCATTTCTCTCTATTTAAACATTTGTAGAAACAATTTTTTATTCTAATGCCTACTTGCAAATTGCCATGTTCTAAGTCTCTTTCTTAAATAGTAGTTAGAATTAGATCATCATCTCCAATAGTAAGAATTTGATCATCTATTATCTTACCAACATTATATATCTTTGTTACTTTGTGAAGATTGTTTGATTTCACTTTCTATATTATTCTATTTTTACTATCATATATCCATACTCTATTGCTTAAATTACATATACAATATTTCTTGTATCAATTACTTGTCAAGATACTATATTTTTTTTTTGTCTAAGCTAAGCTAGTTATATTCTACTTTTAATTATCTATCATTGTATTTATGTGACATTTATGTCCAAAACTAAGTGGTTCTTAAATTTAGAATAATTATTAGATGTTAACTATTATATTGCTTGCTTACATGTGTCTCCCTATTATATATTCTTAGATTTTAGAATTTCTTGTTTAGATTGTATAAAACCAACATAAAAGTACTATTTTTTCTTTCTACTGTTTATTTAATAGATTGGAATTATGCCTTTGGTTGTATATTTGGTGGTTTTAAATTTTATATTTATTACATGGCTGATTTTATAACCTAAATTTCTCTATTTGTATTTAGCTAGAAATGTACTTGCTTCCATTTAAATATCATTAATATGGAATAATATCTAATTTTATAATTTGTGGTTAAATAAAATCTACTCAAGTTTAGAAAGGTGATCATAGTTAATGAATCTATCCAAATATGTACTAAACTATTTTAGGTGAGATTTTCTCTTTGACATAATAAGAAATAATAACATGCCTTTATAGATATGTTGTTTTGGAAATAATATCTTTTAAATCTATCACAATTTCTAATAGATTTAAAAAATCCCATCCAAAAAAAAAAAAAAAAAAAAAAAACATAACTATAGCCATAGTTGGTTGGAAAATTCTTCCCAATAACACTTTTAGTAGCTTGCAATTGTTCTACTTATTGTACCTTACTTACTGCTCCTATCATGTCTTGCTCATCTTTAAGGTTTATTTTAAAGCTCACTTTTTATTTTTTTATCTTTAAATTTACCTCCTTATATATATTTTAAAAGTTTGTACTTGCTACCTAACAACTTGCTAATTTTAATATTATTTTAAGAAAGGTAGACCTCCATCTTGTCCAATGTCATTTCAACACACTTCAATCCATTAATTATTATTTATGTATTAATTTACAAATTTACCATAAAAAAAAATCTAAAAAAATTCTCTCTTTTTTATAAAAGCAAGAGCATCATCTAATAACAAAATTGTGTCCATGCATTTCTATGGCAATCCTTCTTCAGATCAAATATATAAATATATATATATATATATATATATATCTAACACTTACAAGATGCATCTTCAAAACTGGACTCACAATGGGTAGAACTAGTTTTTATTATAATAAGGAGTTCAAGATGATCCAACAACTATTTTGTAACTTTCAACAAAAACACACATGGATAGAAAACATCAAACGTCTACTGCATCGTAAAAAGAATGAAGCCAACCATTCATCCAATAGATGGATGACTGAGATCATTCATCCATACATCGTATTCGTCCCCATCGCTGTGTCTGCGTGTGTTTCTGAGTGTGTTTTCCTCGACGTGCTCTGTTTGCAACTCCCTCGAGTTGCCTCCGACGACAGAGTTAGGTCTCGGTCAATACGAAATTCCAGCCATCGCCAATCCTCACTTCCTTGTCGAAACAGTTGCGATTGTAGTGAGGTAGAGCGTAGAATCGCCAGTGGAGGGAATGTCGGTGCAGGAGATGGAGTTGAGCGACCCGGTGGAGGTCAAAGTCGAAGGCAATGCGACGGAGTTGTTGCCTCCCGTGGCCCTTGAAGTCGTGCGCCTCGCCGAAGCCAGGGCGAAGCTGAAGGATTTAAACCCGCGCCCGGATCCAGTCCAAGTCGAGGAAGCGCGCAAAGCGATTCTCCTAATTGAGAATTCGTTGAAGGATCAGTCGGAGTCGGTGTTTGCCGTCCAATGCCCCCCCGGTGAAGACCTCCAGCGCTGGAGATCCGTTCAGGTGTTGTATTGATGCGATAATTTGGCTCTTTCCATGCTGTTCATAGCGCTCGAATTATCATTTTATAACTGTTGGATGTGGTGGCATTCTTGTGGTATGTTAGTGATGTTGTTATTGTCCATTTTGAAGATGTCTGTGCATGGATTTCAGAGGTTGAGGAATTGGACCCGCTGGAACTCGTTTACTTCTTAGGGTGATTTTGTAAGTCCGTTGCTACGCTGTGGTTTGTGAGGGTGAAGGGCGTGTGGTCATTGATGATCGTGTTGTGGATTTATGTAGTCTGATAAGATGAAGGCCTTGGAGGAGTCTGCGGCGAAGGGGAGAGGTCCTTATGCAGCTCTGCTTGAATTGGAGGAACTCCATTTGCTGTATGAGGAGGAAGCGAAGCATGCCGAACTGGCTCTTGAGGGCATCGAGAAGCCATCTGAGAGGACGGTGGAAACTGAAAACGAGGTTGATGAGTACGTCTCATCGAAACTTCAAGAAGCACTCGAAAGACGACTTGATACTCTCGTCCTCAGCAGTCAATTACTGTCGCACGTACCCGAATCTTTTGGCAGAATTACGTCGCTAATCGTTTTGAATTTGTCCAACAATCGCTTAGAGGTGAGGATTTGCTTTGGACATTTGTTTCTATTGTCTTTGCCATCTTTCTCTTTCTGATCCGAATGGTTTGGTAACGAATTTAACCAATGCTTAGAATGTGATTGCAATATTCATTTCCAGAATCCAAGCATTCACATGTTGTCCTTAAATTTTTGTTCTAAGGCCCATGGATGGCTGGTATGAGTTGAGTAGTATGAAGCACGAATCGTTTATCTGTCGCGTAAATAGCATTTCCAAGATCCTCACTCATGTGCTATCCAAATAGACTCTGAAGATCTGTTCATATATTTTTTTGTGGATTATCTGCTTTAGTTGGTTTGCTTTATTTTTCTATACCGTTAAGCTGATTAATGGCAGCTTTTAATCTGAACCCACCTGTACATATTGCGTGTTTATGAGTGTCTTGCAATATGCATCCTTAAGCTGACCAAGCTGTGTTTTTGGGTAACGAGGTTAGTTCTTGCCGGACTCTATTGCTGGCCTTGTGAATTTGGAAGTGCTTGACCTTCAACACAACCAGTTGAAGCTACTACCAGATTCGATAGGTCTACTCTCAAAGCTCAATTCACTTGACGTGTCAGGGAATCAATTGAGGGTTTTGCCTGCCAGTCTTGGCCGATGCAGGTACTACCTTCCCATTCCCGTTGGCAATCAATTATTTCTTTTTTTGGTTTTGTTTGTTCGGTTGTTGGTTCACTTTAGTTCAATTTTTTTCTTTTTTTTCTTTTCTTTTTTGTCTTCCTTTTTAAAATCTAAATGGGTATATCGTTGCATATAACTAAACAACATTTAAAATAACACTAGTTACTGTCTTTGGTTTCACCTATCTTAAATCAAGTGAAGGCGTACTAGGAGTTGATGAAATGTGAAATATCTTCGGGAATCCTGACGTGTTGTACCTCAGATATAAAAGTTATTATACTGCATACAAGGCTTACTGTAGTTGTGGACTGGTCTGCAGCGCTCTTGTGGAGCTCATAGCGAACTTCAACGAGCTAGAAATGTGGCCATCCGATTTTGGTTTCCAGTTGTCTAACCTTCAGATACTCCGCTTGCATCTGAACAAATTGACTTGCCTGCCACCATCAGTTGGGGAGCTTCGTGCTCTGCGTGTCCTTGATGTTCATTTCAACAAGCTCAGAGGATTACCGTCTACAATTGGCAACCTTACCAACCTCTCAATACTTGATGTCAGCAGTAACTTCAAGGATTTTGCCGCTTTACCAGACTCTGTAGGTGATCTGGTTTCTCTTACAGAGCTGGATCTTAGTTTCAACCAACTTCATGAACTGCCAATCTCTATTGGTCGACTCACAAACTTGAAGAAGCTGAAGCTTGACGAAAACCCTCTGGTGGTCCCTCCAATGGAAATTGTGGAGCAGGGCCACGAAGTAGTTATGAAATATATGGCAGAGCTTTGGACCGAGAGCTTGAAGTCTGAAGAGGAGAAGAACCTCACCAAGAGTACAAGCTTTGGTCGTGCATTTCAGGCAAATACTGGCGGGGAGGGGTGGTTGCCAGCATGGGCAGGGGGTTCATTGGTGAACAATTGGCTGGGGGGCTTCCTTGGGACCAAGCCAGCGTCGCACTTGAAAGACCAAAATACTGACGACAGCTACCTCGAGCAACAGCTTTAATCCGATCTGCTCTTCCGTGCTCAAGATGCCAATGAAAAACTCTTCAGAGTGGCTTCGTTTCCTGCTTGTGACTGAGGTTCTGCACATCTGAGAGAAATGGTATCGTGGAGTATTCGTCTATCTATCATCTTTCTCTTGATATGTCTTTGTAGAGACCAGTTTTAGTATGTTAGAATGAAACTCGCGACGCTGGTTTTTCGTAGTATAATCTAATTTCGAATGTCGATAACTGGGGAGGTACCAATTGTACATTTCAACCCATCTTTCATGACATGTATATAAGGATATGATCTTAAAGTCTTTTGACAGCATGTTTGGTTTCTGATGCATCTCGTATACAGGTCCACTGCCACACTCTTAGCCATGAATATTGGTGAAGCCCCAAGTTCCTAGTATCATTTTAGGGTTCTTTTGTGCATTTGATATATATTTGCTTTTATTGGTGTTTTTACTCAAAAAACAATGTGAAAAATTGTTTTTGAGTGGTTTGATTGTATGGATGGATGTGTATACATAAAGATGTCTATATATACACACAGATATGATACCTTTTTCGGGCTTTCTTATTCTTTAAATACATGAAATATTTTTACGTGAAATCATTGAATTAGATTATTTTTGCTGCTATTTAAAAAAATTCGGCTACTGTTCTCAAGTTGAATTCATTATTATTGTTTTATTATACAACGATTCAATTGTGATTACATCTACAAAAAGAAAAAAGAAAAACGTATATTTCGTGCTCCACATTAATATTTCGCAAATTATATTTATTTATAAAATGCACTTTTTTCGACCAAGTTGCTACTTGAGTCTCACCTTGTGCAATCTATAGCATATTTATTATATAATAATATTTATTTTAATCCTGAAGTCATATTTTTTTGTATTTAACTTTGACATCTTAATTAAATATATATATATATATATATATATATATGATTTACTAATTTAAATCAATAAAGATTTAAAATATAACAGCAATACTTTTTGCATGTATGCATGAATAAAATTTTATTGCTAATATGTACAATATGACATACAATGGTCTATATATGAAACACAACATACATACATCTTCATCAAAACAATTCTTACATTCTTATTTTTTATATATTGTTTCAAATAGTAATAACTATATCAAAATTTATAAATTTTTTGAACATAATTGAGTTATTATTATTATTATCATTATTAATTACACCATATTATCACTTAATTTTGTACAAAACAACATCCAAAACTTGTAGGATTTCTAAATTAGTAATTCATAGGTTTTAAGAATATCTTTTAGTTTGAAGAGTGTAAGAACAAGGCCCCTCTCCCAATTATGCCTATATTGCCCATCCTAAGTACCCTCTTTGAATTTACAACAAACAATTTCCGATGATCTCCCAAGGATCCAAGATATAGAAACTTTTCATTTTGACGAGATATAAGAAAGAATTTACTAAATTTTCAAAAATATTACATAAGTACCCTTCCACTACAATCTAACAATGTAATATATTTAACTTCAAAACTACTGCACTCAAAAAATGTTATATATTTAACTCCAAATGCTTAAAGAGTTAGTCTTTGTAGTGTATCAAACTTCTAAAGCTTGAAAATTAATCTTTGAGGTATTCAATGGAAACTATTATATACTTACAAGTTAGCTGAAAGTAATGAGCTTGGCTTCATATGATGCATTGGATTAATTAGAAGAAAATATTTCAGCTCAAAATTGAGTGGCTTGGCAACACATCAGAAGTGATAATTGGATAGTGGTAACACCACCAAGATATTTGGCCAAGTTGAAAGAAAATGTAACAAAGTTGTTCTTAAGTAGGAAATATATACCCTAACAGAGGGTAAAATAATTGCTGAATAAAATAAGATCGTATTTTATGATGTAAAAAACTACATTTATGATGATGTTAATACAGCTTTGTTCGTATGTCTAATCAGATAATAGATTCTTCAAAACCACGATGTCAGCATGTGAAAATTTGGGCAAATTTCAGTAGACCCTACAGAGCAGATAAGTTGTAAAAGTTGACAAAACATCGCACTCTACCTGAACTGCATCATTCTGAAACTTCAGCCAGCTGGGATGAGACAACAGTAAAGAAGGTACTCAACAGAACTGGGTATCGATGCCACAATGCAGTTCACCTTGCAAGCAACAAAAAGAGGAAAATTACGTGCATCAAAATTGTAGGGCCCGCATACGCCGAGGGCCAATTACACTGCAGTGCATCCGAGACATATAAAATTTATATTTGATAACAATACTTTCACATCGGGCGATCCTCCCAATTTTCCCCGTGGTGGAAAGTGGACTTCACTCACAAGGAGAGATCAATCCAGTTTTTTACAGGAAAGAATAAAGCTAAGACAAAATCAGTCTGGGCTCCAGAATTTAAAATGGTAAACAGCCTGCCAGCTAGTTAAGTTGAAAACTTTTAAGTCCCAAGTGCCTGATTATCCCACTCGTGAATATTATGCCAGACTGATTTATTCATCCTTAAACTGCTGATTGCGGTCTCCAGCTTACAACTTCTGGGTTTTCCCACCTTCGAGGGCTTCACGAGAGGGCTACAAAAAAAAGACAACGTGTCAGTGAGATTCTTGAGCAGGCATATCTCAAGTAAAAAGCTTCATGTATCTGCAATAAGGTATGACCCGTCCTCTTCATTTCCAATGGTAGCAAGAGTGGGTAACGTCAACGCAGTGGAATAAACCATCTTTTTATCAACTGGTTTAAGCTTTAAGCCATGGTCTCAAGAATATAAAGGCTCTGACAGCTGATGTATACTTAAATAAGACTTATTCAAGATGAGTACCTCAAGGACTCCTTTTTGTCACATATCTAAGCCAAAAATACAAACATGGGTAATGAAAACATTACCTAAAATTTCAAAAAATGCTGACAAAACGTTAGCCAAACAGTAAAAGTTATATGACCTTCATAACAATAGACACTACTGAAAATACAATGTACAACTCAAGAAAAATATGGAAATTGAGAAGAATCAGGTCTGCACTTACAGGCACTCAATGAGCATATTTCTTGCAAGTTGATTGGCCGAAGTTGGTGTAGGCACCTCCGCAGACCACCACATACTAAGTGGGCAGTATAATGATGTTTACACCAAAAACATTGAGCACAGAAAAGAGTCCCATTTACAGGACAAATCACCTTGAAAAAGGGGATCTCATGTAGGCACGCAACAACTCCAGCCTGGGATATCCATAAGCTGATCGGTCCTCAAAGTCACTGTACGAAGGAAACGTTTATCCATAACCTCCATCCACAGGACTTTCTGTGTTCACGGTACAATATTGAACAAGTTACCCTACCTGTGCCACCCTTGAAAGGCACATTACCATCATGGCTATTGGGAGCATTCATTGCCCCATACTGACACTGATATCCATCAAGGGTCCCCTCTCTGTTGATCACCACAAGGTTCCAAATGCTCGAGTCCTCAAAAGCTTCGAAAAGATGTCACTCCAGAAACCGTATCCTCCATGGTACGAAAGAAACTTCAACATACTGAGCACCCGATGAAAGGGCAGATATGGACCCAAAATATTGAGGAGGTCGATTGTACACAGCCAGAAGCCATTACAACAATGTGATTCGGGGCGGTACTATACTCTTGAAGTGATCACGCTGAAGGGAGTAATAGAGAATAGCCTCCGCGGAGGTAGATGTTTGTTGAAGTTCCCCAGAGATAAGTGACTTGAAGGCCCTATCCAATCCTAGATCTCAATGGAGAAAATCTTGCGTCAGCCTCCTTCCTGTCTTGCATCGATCTCTTCCTATCCATCTCCTTCGGAGAAGATCTGATTCTCTCTCTTTCAGCGTCTTTAGCATCTTTCTCAGCTTTCTTCTTCTCCATCTCTGCTGCCTTGGTATTCTCCTCGTATGAACGTTTGAACATTTTCACGAAGTTGAACAGAATGGAAATAACTGCAAAACATACGAATAAGGCGATCAGGGCCGTAGGACCGCAAAAACAGTGAAACAACTGCAGCCATTTCTTTAAAAAAAAACTTAAGTTCACCTCCCTTTCTGACAGTACCTTGTTCAAATGGACATCTTGCTGGATCCTCTCCAAAATATTGAGCAAGTGAGTCTGCGTTCCGGCCCTGTAAGAACATCAAATAGCTAAGACCTTCTACAAAATTGTTTAAAAACTTGCACAAAAGCTAGAGCAGGAGAACATAAAGCCTAAACATTAGTAGCAATAAAAGTAAATTAATTAAAGAGCTCATAGCAAAATTTCTGTGAGGGATTTTGAAGGCCTGGAGACATACGGCTAGTGCGTATATTAAAACCCCATGAATTCTAATGATAAAATATATTTGTGATACGAACTATTTATTTGGAAAAACTTGATAGAGTAACCTTGTGCTGAAGAAAATCAAATTGGGTGAGGCATCGTACCACTTCAAGGTACAGAGAAGCTAATGCACGAACTTCTGACTCTGCCGTTACAAGAAAGTCCTTCGATACCTGATAAAAAATAAGCAGTTGGTGATGACCATAGGAAGATAGCTTAAAAGTCCCATAAAGACATAGAAGGGGACCTTGATATATCTTTAGGTACTCGTGGACAATAAGATAGAATTCACAACAAAGCAACATACCTGCCGGAAACCCGCAGATGGAGGACCGTCATTTTCTGACATAGCAATTTCTTGTTCGACTTTCTCAAGACCCTTGCTAACTGCTTGCATTTCTTCAGCCAACGACTTCAATTGAATCTACAGACGCACAACAAATGATATGTTGGTTAGCAAGGTAAACGAAGCTTGGCCAATCAATATTGTATCATATACTATCACAAGTAAGCAACTAGACACTCTTTTAGAGTGCCAGTACTAATATCAGAAAAAAGAAAATTGCTAGATGACAGGAGAAAGGTTCAATTCTTCAGGGCACAAACACGATGGATATCAGTGCTAACTTGAATAATAATTGGACAGTATCAAAAATGTACAGAAAGAATTAAAATATAGCAAGACGGAAGAGTTGCCAGACAAGCACCTTAGTTGCTGCTTCCAGATCTTGTAAATCCTTGTCGAAATCAAGAAGCTCTGGCAACTTATCAGCTATGACCTACGTTTTCCACAAACAAATACACGTAAGTAGCGCAAGAAAGCACTAATTTCAGGTGTTTTTCTCGTTTGATAAATTTTTATCAAACGAATGTATAAATCATTTTCAAAATTCAGAGATTAAACAATATCATCTTTCAATATCTGCAAGCACTGCATGAAACAAGGACTACCTTGCACAAATAGTGCATAAGAGTCATTCTGTTGTTCCGAGCCCGAGTGTCTGTAAGTTTCAGAAGGCTGTCCAACTTGAAACCAATAGCAGAGCCTGTCCATTCACATAATTCGAGTAAATTAAGACATAACGGGCCAATATGATCTGCTCTCATAGCAGAATCACTCTAATGAAGAATATAATACAAAACACAAGATAAGGTTGCTCAAGAAGCCGTATCACAACTATAAAGAACTCTTGCAAAATGCAAAACTACGTCCAAGAGACCCAAGAGTGCTAAAGTAACAAACCTCTAGCAGTTCCTGAATTTAAGGCATTGCCAAGTGACAGGATGGTTTGCATAACTCGTCGTAACTTTAGAGATTCTCTGACCTGGAATGACAAAAACGAATCAGCTAAACCTCACAAATGATCCCTTGAACCGTTGCTGGAAACATAGAATCTCCAAGAATGAAAACCAAAAGAGTTATCACGAAGTAACACGTTTGAATATTGTTGACAGACACCGCCAATCTGATAATTATGCACCTCTTAACGTGTCTCTACCTCTACCTCTTTACGCGCAATAAAAAACTACAAAAGACTGAGTGACAGAAAAATACTATGTCCGAAACATAATATGGCACTCACCTGCCTGGAAGCATTGTTTACAACCAACAGGTTTTCCCGCAACTCACTAATCTGCGACATGAGACATGTTTCAAATCATTACCCGCAACTGGTTAGATTGCAACAGGCACTTGCATAGAAAGTTGCAATGCACACAGGTCCCGCAATGCCTGCAAGTATGTCCTGGATGATTTTGTCTGTAGAGAGCTTGTATCAAGTACCGCAACGATATCTTATTTTATACAATAAAAACTGCATGAAACATGCACGGATTTCCTCCAACATAGACTAAAAACCTGTTTGCATAGACTTTGATGCAAACTTTTGGTGCATACTGCAATTCAAAAGCCGAGGAATATTTATTATTCACCTGTTGATTGAAAAGGATCTTGAACGAGAACACACGTAACTTTGCTTCCATTCTTGGAACTCTCATCATTTCCAGAAAAAACTGAGCGTAAACAAAGTAATTAGCACACGTGTGCAACATCATATACAAAGAAACACCTCTGTTGGCAATCTGGTTTCCATCTAAAATAAATTCTTCTTTCCACAAAAAATCGCAGCACCCTAGAAAAAACAATCAGTTCTACTAATGATTGAGATCAATGACCAATGACCAATAGATAACATGAGTTAAAGACGTACCTGTTCACATTTTCCGAGGGTTTCCTTGTCTCCAGCAAAGTTCTAAAAACATCCCGGCAATAAAGTAATAAATTTACCAATTACAATGCTCATGGTGAATGTAAGGCAATTTGAGAAACCACATGAATAAAAATTCACGTCCGTTGACACTTTCAGTTAATCCAGAACTTCTACACTAATCACAATAGCCTTTCACTTGAAGTAATGATAAACTTACTCTCAGCATATCCATCTCCTCCTTCGTTGGGCAGAACTTAATGAGATTTTCCACTTGATCTGTATCCAATACAGATGGGTCCAAAGAAAGAACTCCACTCTACACACGATATCAAGAAGCGAACATAAGACTCAATGTTGGGAAAACCAGCCACCGAGCCAAGAAACGAGTATTGCAACATCTTGGCTGAATGTTTTGAAACCTAGTCAGCGAATGAAGTTAAAACTAATGTTTAGAACACTTACTATCACTTCCGGCAAAGGAACTTTGACCTTCGTCAACATGATCTCGCAATTGTTGGCTCTTCTCATGTCAACCTGCACAAACAATGAAGATGTAATAGAAGAACAGAGACTATCCAACTCCCAAAATTGACATGAAGTATTCAACAACAACGCACCTTCCCAATACGTATTCGGGAACTCTATAAGAATTTAAACTGTAACCAGAACTTAGCCATACCAAATGAATTTTTTCTTGTTTAGGAGCCGCCTTTTTTAGCTTCTCTGCTGCAGCACTAGAGGCTGGTGGCGCCGATGAGAACAATAACTCCAATTCCGACATGTCAATATCCGGTGCTCTGCAAGTTCAAAAATACATTTAGAAACTACGCAAAAAACACTTTAAATCTCATTCAATTGATGATCTTCACATCACCATGGCCGTCCCAATGTACATACCAACTTCCACAAGCCACCAGCCCTTACTCTATGTTCACTTATTCAGTAGATCAACAAGAATCTAACGTCCATAATAATTCTGGCTATAATTATCATGATGCATTACGCTAAGTGTAATACCTTGCAGAGTCTTGTTGTTTCTGATAATCGGCCCACAGACTCCCTTGTAAAGCGCGAGTAACCTTGACCCAGTGAAGGGGTTTCAGGGGTGCCGGTTTCTTTATTACTGGTGCGGCCACTGGAGCAGGAGCTCGAGCCGGGGGGCCAGGTGGACCTCCTCTGCCTCTGCCTGCGCCTGGTGGTGGCGGAGGAGGCGGACCACCAGGACCCTTACCTCCTGGTGGTGGAGGCGGAGGTGGAGCACCCGCTGGCCTAGCGCCTCCCGGGGGTGGTGGAGGTGGAGGTGGACCACCCGGACCTCTGCCCCCAGGTGGTGGGGGCGGAGGAGGAACCGCTGGCCTAGCACCTCCTGGGGGTGGTGGAGGAGGGGATGGAGGTGGAGGTGCTCCAGGACGGGAGGGAGGGGGTGGGGGAGGCGGAGGAGCCCCACTGTTTGAACGTCCACCAAACGGTGGTGGAGGTGGAGGTGGAGGAGGAGGAGCAGGGGCACCACTAGCAGGACGACCTCCAAAAGGAGGTGGGGGTGGTGGTGGAGGCGGCACTGCTCCGCTGCTAGGTCTACCACCAAATGGAGGTGGTGGTGGAGGAGGAGGAGGTGGGACTGCGGCACTGTGAGAACGACCACCGAAAGGAGGCGGGGGTGGAGGTGGAGGGGCACCACCAGCCGGACGACCTCCAAATGGAGGTGGGGGTGGAGGTGGAGGGGCACCACCAGCAGGACGACCTCCAAATGGAGGTGGGGGTGGGGGTGGAGGCGGGGCAGCTATGCCACTACTTGGGCGGCCACCAAATGGTGTAGGTGGAGGGGGAGGAGGAGGAGGTGGGGGAGCTGCAACGGGTGCAGCACCGCTAGGGCGATCACGAGATGAACTCAGAAGCACTGAGTTGGCTGTCTGTTCAACAAAATCTTGTTTGGGAGGAACCGCATCTATCCTTCCCATTGATGGTGAATGCGTTCTGGAGAGCAAAGAAGGTTTGTGAAAGTTTGTATCAAACGAACCTGAACGGTTTGGTTGTGGGGTCAAGTTAAATTGCAGTTTCCTTCCACCGCCACCCCTGGGGGAATTTGGAGCGGACCGGGAGTCAGGGGTACCAAATCCGTCTCCAGGAATCAACTTTTCAAGGTCTTGAAAACCATTCTGTGTCATCTGCTGAAGAAATCTGAGGGCAGCATCTCCATGACCATCCACCCAATCCCCACTACTAAAGAGCTCCTGTACTTTGGCAAATGCTTCCATGGGTAGCACCTCTTTTTCCTCCCCACCCAGCATTATCACAGGAGGCATTTTCGAAGGAGTAGCTTCTGTCTCATTGAATAACACCTGTCCAAAAAATAGTGGACTCAATTGTAAAATTGCACCGGAATGTGTATTGCCCGGATAACGAAACTGAGAGAAATCCAAGGCAAACTAACGTGAAACTGCTCAATACAACAGAGGAAGTAAACTTACCTCAGCTCTGAAGTCCTTTGGATATCGTTCTTTCGCGTTCCACATTATATCTATGTCGTCACGCGTAAGGATTAGTATGTTTGATCTAATGAAGGCAGTGTTAAACATGATTCGAAACATCATTTCCTCTCGATCTGTTTCGTAGTCCAGGTTTATGCATTCCATCACGACATCACCTCTTACTGGGCATTGAAGGTCCACTTTGACAACTTCACAGTCAACCTGCATGACACGAAGACTTAATATTGCTCGACAGAATTTGACTCAAACTATATTGAAAAACTTACTGAATACAATATAGTTAAGTACAACTTTGAAGTCCATTCTGACAATAAATTGCTAAAAGACCCCTTGCGTAGAATTTGAAGGCCGACGTTGAGCAACTCCAGCATAATCCGTCATCACTATGTTTTGCAGCGAACTTAACCAGGCAGCTATTTTGGGGAAATGAAAAAACATGATAAGAACAAAACCAGAAGTTCATTTTCTATACCTCCTAAGCATGCAGAAAAAGATTGAGGAGAGCAACACCTGGCGATATTGTCGAACTCTCTTCTTATTTTGTGAAAAGAGCATTTTCGTCATGCGATTCCCTTTCAGCCTCGGATCCTGACCATAAATACGAACGAGAGGTCTACATCCTCCTTCTGAGTCAAATGTTGGGACTACCCGAAACATGAGGCAATCTAATGTAAGAGCCCTGTCTTGAGGTGGCCATTCTGGAGTATTATTCCGCCTAGAGACATATTGTAAGTATCTTAACTGCGAGGGCATAGGATTGAGGGGTGAGAGTAAAGGTAATAATCCCTTGGGCGCCTCTTTGTGCAGCATATCTAAAGTTTTCATCTCCCCAGTGTGAAGCTTTCTATAAATGAGAAACGATGCAAGAATAAAAGCAAGTAAGGGCCACCCTCCCCTTTCACAGTGCATGAGAATAATGTTCTGGCTGCCTTCAAGGGACAGCCAGCTGTCACTTGACCGAAGAAAATGATGGATCATTTCCATGGATAAAACAGGGCATCCCTCATACTGCCGAGGGTAATCCATTACTGTCATGTCGTACTGTGAGAGAATCTCTGTCAAGTGACTCTTTCTCTCCCCTTCCCTAAAGTTAAACACAAGGTAGGAAGAGTCTGGGAACTGCTCATGCAGCTGGGTAGCAATCTGCCGCATGTAAATATTATATGTTTCATCCGCAAATACGTCTGTGGAGAAGCACGAATCGAACACTGCGACAATAAAGAGAAACACAAGTTTTCAGATTATCGAGGCAATGTTTTCCGTCATTTAATCACTACATTTGACGTCCAACTTTGTGGATGGTACTTCCATTCGACAGAATGACCACTATGAATTGAACTGACACAATCGCAAGAGCTCGAGATCGGGTAGACTTTTATCCACTTTTGTAAATACTACTGCACCTTACAGTTGGAAAAACGCTAATGTTAGTGCGCGCCAAAGAGAATATACGACCTTGGTCCAACGATGAGACCATCACTGCTGATACTTCTACACAAAAACTTCCTAACCACCACGGTATGCAGTGGATAACTTTGAATAAATTCCATGAAAAGTACATGAAACTCTCTTTACCAGAAAATTCATTACTACAATTTTAGAAATACGAAAGAAGTCGTAACAGCTGGGCAAGACATGTCTGAAGGACAAATTTGATCTACAAAAATACCTGATGCGCATTGTAATCGCGGGTGCTCAGTTCATAAGCAACGACGCATCGGCCTTAACCGATGGATAACAAAATTAGGGCACGAAGATCAGATTAAAGTTGCTTACCATATACGCGTTCTGTAATCTCCAAGAGACCATCGGGTGGTCTCCTGTAGAAGAATCGGCGAAACAGAGACATACTCCCATGCACGAAAGTATCACTGGCGCGATGATGATCTCTTCTCGATCCTCAACCTTGTCTGAGCCTTCTCATTCTATGAATACCTTTACGAACCTCCGCACGAAATTACCCAGGTTGATCACTGTTCAGATTCGTGAACAAACCGGACTCAACGGAGCTATCAATTTAATCGTGATAGAGTGTGTTCAATCCATCAAAAGAATGAGTCGAAAAACTTCTAGGTCACAAGAAGTGTATTCTATTCACCGTCGACGAACAGAGATACCGATAATACGAGAATTGTTTCAAAAACTACAATGCAATCGATGCGGCACCTTACAAAAATGAACGATAAGATGAAATGGAAACTTTACGACCTCGCGCTGCTAGAAATGGAATATAACTTAGCTGTCGGTTGGTTTCACTAGGCATATGCTCACAATGTAGTATGCCACAATGAAACATGAATAAGCGAACTACGAACCCAGATCCACCAAAAGGAATCAAGCAGAACCTCAAAACCTGTCCGAAGCAAGACGTTTTACAACTCCGCAGTATTTAATCTCCAATCTGCCTACCAATCTGCAATCAGAAGAAGAAGAAGAAAAAAGTATTGAACGATCCAGGACCCAGATATATACACAAAATTATCCCTGAACCCTAGAGGCTTCGCTGCAACTCCCAGCCGCAGGCACTGCCGCCCTACTGAAACGCCAAAAAACCGCCACAGCTTCCGACCTCCGCCGCGCAACAGCAAATCAGATCCTTACACCAACCCTAGGGAAGACCTGCCAAATACCATTTCAAGCGATGCTTCTGAGCTTAAATCAATCATCTTCCACTGCTTGGCGTACCAAAACCGGCCCTTCCTGAGACCGCAACAGAAACCAGAACACCAGCAACCACTACAGACGACCTCAGACACTCAGCTACAACTTCAATTACGAGATCTCGAGGTCCGCAGCGCCAAGATAGCTTCCGCACCACCGCACCGAATAGAGCGACGTGAAGGCCGAAATCCAATCCTGAACGAGATCTGCAGTGAGGAGCACTGGTAGAAGGTTAAGAACTCGGCGACGCAAACGTGCGTCGAGCGCAGCAAGGGAGAGAGAAAAACGAGCGAAGCCAATAGAGCTTGATGCAAAGACCTTGGCTATGGCGTCGGAATGGTGCAAAACAATGCTGTGCCCGGCCAAGACTCTTCCCATTCACTTCCAAGACCCGCCTAAGACCCTCCCCACCCCCTCCCCCCCAGTCCGCTGGAGTGGGGGGGGGGTCTTCTGGACTGCCTTCTGATGCCTGCGAGTTCCGCTCGTCTGCCATGTGCTGCGAAGGCTGTGCAGACTGTGGATGATCGTGTGTTACATCATACATCCATTCATCCTTTCTTAGTTCCACATGCGGCACATGGGCCCATTCAGCAAAAATATCCCTGTTTAAACTGGGTTAATTAATTTGTCATTGGATGATACTGGCTGAAGGTTAGCACTTATCACACCCACAGCACCCACCCAATAAAAAAATAATATTCTCATGAGGGAAGGACAGTTTGAAGAATTCAGCTCTAAAAAGTGGTACTCCATAGAAATCTTGCCTGCACCTTAAATATAGGTCCCTATATCATACTAATTAGTAGCACTGACTAAGAGGGAGGAGGGAGGGGGGGGGTCGCCCTCAGCCTTTTCTCTGCCCGTTCTTTCAGCTGACTGGGCTGCTGAGCTGGATAGTTACTGGGGTCACCAGACGTCCACGTAGGCACAATGGGGGAGAAGGGACAATTCACATCACTTATTCTTCTCCTACATTTTGGTTGTGTGATCATTAAATTCTTGGATAAGTACAAATAGGATAAAATCATAATGAGAAGTGAACTTCAAAATCTTTGATGGGAAACCTTTAATTAAAGTAAGATGATAATGTGGATCGCCACTCAAAACTGTTAAGCTCATTCCTATTTTATTTACTTTTGCTTTGTCTCCACGAGCGTATTGCAATTAATGTGGACCGGCACGAAAGTGCCCTGTTTACACCGTCGGCGGGTGGAGGATGCCGGCGTGGCGTGGCGAACACGAGGCTTGCCGTCCTACCAATGGACGGCGGCCAGCCGTCCCATTTTCCAAATGGCTGACGTGGAATCCTCGTCAATTGTCCCACACTAATATGGAGATAGATTGATTTTACTGGATTATTTTTACAATTTTTACTAAACAATTACATGAATGAAAACAGAAGATGTTAGGTTCAAAATTAAGGATGAGTTAGATTTTTAATAATTTTGACATTATAATCCTTAGTTTATTCATATTTATTTTTTGAGAAATTTGTGGATTTCTAGTGACGGTTTTGAGAACCCAGCTAAGTCTTTGAATTGGGGCAGTATAGAAAATGTAAACCTTGAGAAATTAAACAAATACCAAACAACTTATATATATATATATATATATATATGTGTGTATGTATTCATTTATTCATTTGGTTTAATAGTTTGGAAAAGAAAAGTCTAAGATCACATTATTCTTCTATAGCAATATAGAATAAATAGATGTTTGATGGTTTGCAATTACTTCAATAATTTTCTAATAATTTAGGACCTTTGCTTCATGAACTAAAATATTTTATTATATTTTTTTGAATAGAATATTATCAAAAAGATAGATATACTTTTGCAAAGAGAGATCATCTTGTAGTCTTTTGCTTTTTTGGTTTTCATAAATCATGTTTGTAAGTAGCTATAGTAATCAATGATAAGATTGTAATTGAAATTTATAGTAACTTTAAAATATATATATATATATATATATACATACTATAAATATGTATTATTTATATATTTAATGAAATAATACTACATGTAGTTTTTATTACGTAGATAATATTAAAATTTTAAATTAAATAAAGTTAACAAATTCTATACCATATATATATATATATATATATATATATATAGAATCATACATACATCAACACATATCATTAATAATTTAATATAGTAGGTTGGCACTATCTTTAGCCTATAATGGTAAATAACATTATGTTATATTTATTAATAAAACATAATAATAAAACAACTAAGTTGATCAAAGACTCCATAAATAAAAGTGTATTTGTAGTTTTATCAATTTATAATTTATAAGTTTTTATATTTATTTTTATATACTTTAAATATATGAAATTGATCAAATCTTATTAAATAGATATATAAATTATTAATATATGATTTTAATTATATTATATTTTTATTAAAATAAATAAATCATTCAATAAAATTCTTCATAAAATAAAAACATAGTCGTACAATATTAATAAAAAATAAATGAAAAGATGCAACAACATATTTAAAGAATTGTATTGTAATTGTTAATATAAATAGACATATAAATAATTTATTTTTTAAGTATAATAAAAATAATTTATATAAGAAAATTCTATATATAGATTAAATATAGTATTGATAGTTTATATTAAAAATTAATATGAGATGATAAATTAATTATATAATAAAAAGAAAAAAATATCATAAATAATTAAAAATTGATATATCTAAAAATAGAATAAGTAAGAATATTATATAGAAAGTAATAAAAAAATAGATTAATGTTGAAAATAAAAATTATAATAAGAAGAAGGATTTTAAGATATGCCATAATAATAGAAAGATGATGTCATGTAAACAAATATTGTTATACATAACACATCAAGTGCTACAAACCAATCACAAAATATGTAATCTAAATTATGCACAACTAATACACCCTTGATGCCTTCCTAAGCTGATTAAGAGCCCTTCCAGTTAACTAGGACCACAAATCACTTTATGTCGAAGATGAACATCACAATGAGGTTGTTGAAAAATGATATTCATCCAAATTAATCTTGTAGTAGCTAGACAACCAAAGTATGTGACAAATACAATAGAAGTAATCTTCAATCCTTATAAATAGATGAGGCATAGCTTGAAGACTTCTTACGACAATGAAAAATTCTTAAAATGCTTCTCATTATAATTTTATAATGATTCTTTATAATTATAAACAATCATTTAAATCATACTAAAAAGAGAGTCAAAAGAGGTGGTATTAAATATGCCATGTGCCATTGACGTTGACATTGATCATATATAAGCATGGTAGCAACCTCTTTCTTTTCACCACATACAAAATATAAAAGACTAATTAAAAAAATTGTTAATTCATGACATAAGAATAATTAATAAAAAGATGATAAAGATCAAAATTTTTAAAATGCTCTTAATATTCTTGTCCATTCTTGCCTACTAATAATAAAATACTACCAAGCAATACATCTTTTACACATAGAATTGTATGCCTTATCTTAACATCAAGTATTAAAGACACCTTACATTGCAAATACATATAATCTCTTTTGGAGAATCTCTACAACTAAGATTGATAAGCTCCACTATAAATACAATTATATCATAAGGTTTCATGATGTTGAATAATACATAAGTTCTTCATAGCCATAAATATGGTTTGCTTAAAGAACTTTGTTTGATTGTATAGACATTGAGTCCAAACGTTAATATCATCTAAATCTATAATTGGAGCTAGCTTCTCAGATATTAAGCTTGGTAGAATTGACTCTTGTCCATACAACAATCAGTAAGGACTATAAAATGACAAAAATACTTGTCTAATGAAGCAATAATCTATCACAATCTATGGCAATATGAAGTCTCAATTATGATGATTGTTATAAACTAATTTATACTTTTATAAACCATATTTGACAATATGAAAAACCTATTCAACTAAGCCATCTATCTTAGAATGATTTTTAGATATGGTACAATGATTTATTCAAGCTTTAATATATAAAGCTTCAAACGCCCCAAGGAACTATCTTCCTTGATTTGTCAAAATTTCAATAGATGCTTCAAAACATGCGATTATTCAATCAAAAAAAGCCATAGCTGTAAATTTTGAAAAGTTTTGTGATAAAGCCACAAGTTCAATCTACTTACTAAAATGCTCTAGCATTACCAATAGATATTAGGTCTATGAGAAATAACAACAAGTGATTTGGTAAAGTCCAAAGACCACTAGTAACTCAAATCCATGATAGATAAAGGCTTTAATTGAGGTGATAAGGTATTAAAGCTTGATTTATTTTAATTACACACTTCATAACAAGAAACACATGCAGCCACTTGTTCATATATATATATATATATATATATATATATCACTCCACAAATATTAATTATACAACATAGAATGTATCATACATACCTCAAAATGTTCAAGCTCTTTATATATTTGCCACACCAAATAGGTTCTTTGATTTGGTCTTAAAACTATGTACCTAGCTCCATCATGCCATACACAAAATAATACATCGTTCTTCCAAAAAAATCTTATTATTTGATGATTAATCTTATCTCTTTCTATCTTAGAGATAGCTGAAGGAAACATTCATTATTGAAGCTTTTGCAAGACTACAAAATCCTCCTACACCTTGCTAATCACTTGATTTTTGTTGAATACTTTATGTGAATTTTGATCAAGAACCATAGTTATAGAATTTCACATTAAAATTTTAAATATGCTTGTATGCTATTCATGGATTGCCCATCTATTATAATCTCCATACCATCGAATTTTAGTTAAGTCTTCTTTTAAAAGAAATGGATTAAAAAAAAATCCATTAGCATCTAAATTAATAATGCGTGTCCAATACACAATCTTAAAGTTATATTCTTGAAGCAATAAAGCCCATTTTGCAAATTTCTTTGATTTCATAAGCTACTTCAAAGATTGATGGTCAATTATCAATATAAATTATTCATTATACAAGTAAGGTTGAAAGTGAGCAATGGCCCAAATTGCCGCCAAAACTTCTCTTTTATAAGATGAGTAATTAAACTCCACATTGTTATTAATTCTAGAAGCAAATGCAACAAGTGCCATGGACATACGCATGTAAGCTAGTAATTACATGTATAAATAAGTAGAAGTAAGTAAAAGTAAGTTAATTCTATAGTATTTGATATAGAAGCTTCCTAGAAGCTTCATAGATGCTATTTTGACTTTATAGGTTTTTTTAATTGACTTTTTGGAATTAGAAACGTGATCAACAAGTTGGCCATGTGCCACACATGTTGTTAGCTTGAAGACCAAGCTAATTATGTGGCCCACACGTAGAAAAACTTGCCTTCTGAATCAAGGCATGTGTCTTACAAAGTCAACACATATTGGAGGTCCTATAGAACATTGCCACATAGTCCCTAATAAGATAGTATATATAGAAACAAGAGTGAAGCCTTCTTC